AGGCATGAGCCACCACGCCCAGCTGGAAGTGCCCTTTTTTATGCAGCTTGGAGGTTGAATCCAGGAAATAGTACCTGCCCTATAACTTGTTATGCACCACAGCCTCCCCAACTTGCCTTACTTCCTCCAAAGGAGGACTAAGCTGAGGTCACCTGGAACCATCCTTCCAAAAAGCTCAACTTCTCTGGCAAGTTTGGGAAAACCTTGGTTTCCTTTGTTCCTCCTGTCACTCTGCAGCAGGTGACTGAAAGTCTCGAGTGCCCTCTCAAACAAGGCCAGCTCCCCTCAACTCTTTGTGCAACAAAGGTAGGTAGCCACACCTTCCAAGATGGCAGTGATGCTGGCTAGAAGGAGAAACTGCCCACAACAACCAAGTCAGTATTGCCCCTTAATCAGATGGGGAAAGCTCTAGACAACTGTCGCCACATAGGCAGCTTAGCATTTGCCAACTACCTCAAACATAGAACATTTCTCTTACCCAAGATAGTGCTGGCTCTGCATCCCAAATGTCAGATTGTATTTGTGGGGTTTTTCTAGAAACCTCCAAGTCAGAGGGCCCAGGAGCTTTGGAGTTGTAAAGCAATCTCATTTTCTATGGAGAACTTTAAACACAAGAAAGCTGGCAATTTGAAGACTAGGTTTTAAGTCAAAAAACCAAACCCTCCCCACTTACCTTTTCTAGAGGCTCTAAAGTTTACGGAAGGGAAACATCTTTTTAAGATTTAAGATTTTTAAGTACTAAAAAGGAAGTTTAAAAAGAATCAAGAACAAGTGGCTCAGGGCAGGGAGAGGTGTGCTTGGGAAAATGGCAGTTGTCACTCCTTGCATCCTTAGAAGTTGGGAAAGGAACATGGTACATTCACCAAGGCTGCTGCTGCTCTTTCCTGTAGAGCAGTCACAGGAGGCCTGGGCTGGACACTCAATGGCCTCTTCTTGGCTTTTCCAAATGGGATCAACCATTTGCTTTCAGAGTACAATGCTGGGCAATCAGGCTCCTCGGCTCTGGAAAAAACCCTTCTACCAATAACAACTTACACAGGACGTTAAGAACAACCACCACTCAATCAAAACAAACAAACCACCACTCAATCAAAGAAAACTATTAAGCTGCTGTCTTGGCACTAAGGTATTCATATAGTTTTACATCTGCTAAGAGGCAGATTACACTGTGTTTCTGACCAGATAAAGATCCATAAATAATTTAATTTAATGAAAAGTGACTGCTCATCACAAAAATGTCTGCCTCGGCCTTACCGAGACCAGGAGTAGACACAGAATGAGCAAAGCTGGTTGGTGACTGTATTATACATTCAGTCAGAGGACAAAGGCCTTAAAGGCTTACTTAGTCCTAATCATTGAGCTTTTCTCCTTACATTTACTAAGTTAAATATGGCAACAATGAAGGAATTGCTTCATGAATAGTAACCCTGACAATACGATCCCATCTCATTTCCCTATTTCTAAGCCCGTCTGAGAAATTGGTCTGGAAATATTCAGAGGGGCCTGAATATCAACCACTTATACCAGTCTTGACTAAAAAAGGTTCTAGTGCCAGGGAAACACTTAAAAAAGGCTTTTGTGGGGTGGAGAAAACTAAGAAAAAGCCAGTTTTCATCTAAGTGCATGCGCAATGTAAAAGAAAATGGGCTGGGCGAGAGGTGGCCTGTAATCCCAGCACTTTGGGAGGTCCAGGTGGGTGGACTGCTTGAGTTCAGGAGTGCGAGGCTGCAGTGAGCCATGTCTGCGCCACTGCACTGTAGCCTGGGCAACAAAGTGAGACCCTGTCTCAAAAAAAAAAAAAAAAAGGAAAGATAAAAAAGAGAAAGAGAAGGAAGGAAAGTAAGGAAAGAAAGAAAAAGGAAAGTGGGGAGGAGGGAGGCAGGCAGGCAGGCAGCCAAAGGGAGGGAAAGGAAGAGAAAGGAAAGGAAGAAAAGGAAAAGTAAAGAAGGGACCAGCTGGGTGCGGTGGCTCACGCTTGTAATCCCAGCACTTTGGGAGGCCGAGGTGGGTGGATCACGAGGTCAGGAGATCGAGACCATCCTGGCTAACACGGCAAAACCCCATCTCTACTAAAAATATTTAAAAATTAGCTGGGTGTGGTGGCGGGTGCCTGTAGTCCCAGCTACCCGGGAGACTGAGGCAGGAGAATGGCGTGAACTTGGGAGGCGGAGCTTGCAGTGACCTGAGATTACGCCACTGCACTCCAGCCTGGGCGACAAGAGCAAAACTCAGTCTCAAAAAAAAAAAAAGGGCCGGGCGCGGTGGCTCAAGCCTGTAATCCCAGCACTTTGGGAGGCCGAGACGGGCGGATCACGAGGTCAGGAGATCGAGACCATCCTGGCTAACACGGTGAAACCCTGTCTCTACTAAAAATACAAAAAACTAGCCGGGCGAGGTGGCGGGCGCCTGTAGTCCCAGCTACTCCGGAGGCTGAGGCAGGAGAATGGCGTAAACCCGGGAGGCGGAGCTTGCAGTGAGCTGAGATCCGGCCACTGCAGTCCAGCCCGGGCTACAGAGCAAGACTCCGTCTCAAAAAAAAAAAAAAAAAAAAAAGGGACCAGCTCCAGGAGTGCCCCAAAGGAAGTCTATTTCCTCTTGTTGGATGTATAGTGCAAACAGTTTGCTACCTTCAGTTATTTTCATATTAAAAATCTGCTTTCTTGGCCAGGCGCGGTGACTCATGCCTGTAATCCCAGCACTTCGGGAGGCCAAGGTGGGCAGATCACCTGAGATCAGGAGTTCAAGACCAGCCTAGCCAACATAGTGAAACCGTCTCTACTAAAAACAAAAAATTAGCCAGGCGTGGTGGCATGCGCCTATAATCTCAGCTACTCAAGAAGCTGAGGCAGGAAAATCACTTGAACTTGGGAGGTGGAGGTTACAGTGAGCCAAGATCGCGCCACTACACTCCAACCTGGGTGACAGTGAGACTTTGTCTCCAAACAACAAAAAACAAACCTCCTTTCTCCTGCCTAACATCAACCATCACTTGAAATAGTGTTTCATAAAGGGAAAATGAGGAAATCAAAAGGAGATGGGATTCCTAATGCTAGTGACAGTTTTCTGTAGGGGTAATAAAAATGCTTACTCCTGATTTGGAAGGAAGGAAAGATGTGTTTATAATCCTGACTCAGGAATGGGAAAATAGGTTTTTTTATTTTTTATTTGAGACTGAGTTTCGCTCTTGTTGTCCAGGCTGGAGTGCAATGGCGCGATCTTGGTTCACCACAACCTCCGCCTCCCGGATTCAAGCAATTCTCCTGCCTTGGCCTCCCGAGTAGCTAGGACTACAGACATGCGTCGCCATGCACCACTAATTTTGTATTTTTAGTAGAGGCGGGGTTTCTCCATGTTGGTCACGCTGGTCTTGAATTCCTGACCTCAGGTGATCCACCCACCTTGGCCTCCCAAAATGCTGGGATTACAGGCGTGAGCCACCAGGCCCAGCCGAGAGTTTTTCTCTTAAAAACTTACCCTGGGTAGTTAAGGGGTGCCATACAGCAAACAGAGACAAAGTCAGAGTTTCACCTTAATTACAGACAAGGGACAGTTTATAGGCATTCCAGCCATTATTTAGAAATAATCCATTTCTCCTGACAAGCTACCCAGGTCTCAAAATAACCTGCTGAAGCAAAGAGGAATGATTCAGAAAGCAGAGTATCTTAGCAGTTGGAAGTGAAAAAAGAATGCCTCTATTGCTATGTTAGCATAGAGAAAGGGTCTCTCTCTGACAACTACCTTTTCCTTCTCTCCACGGACCTTCCTAACTTCTTCCTCCCCACCCCTACAGCCCTCCTTCCAAGTCTTTGTACATAAATCTGCAGGACAATGCTACCTTTGACCACTGACTGGCCAATAGCAAAGCATGTAAGTATCTGAAGTGACTTTTTACCAAAAGACACTGCCCCAGCTTTAACCTGACAAAGTACTTTTGGCTATTAAGAAGCAAACAAAAGGAAATCATACACTTGATGTTCTCCTGTAACTTTTCCAAGATAATCAAGGTTTCTATAGACTGGCCTTTACATATGACAAAGCCATAGAAACTTCTGTGATGAGCAATGTGGTCCCAGATGAAAACCACCCTGAGGGACATTTTTTTTGGTGAGTGGGAAAAGTGGCTTCCCTCACTGGGCTTTCATTCTGGCCAGGTACATATACACAGACTGGACCAAAGAAGCTTCATACTCAAATTGGGCAAGACTAAAACGCATTCAAGGGCCTCATGTTGTTTGTGACCATCCAAACCCCTTCATTTGGCACCTGCACACCTGGAGGATGGCTTTTATTTGGCACTTAAAAATACTTAAGAACATTCTTGTGAAAATATCCATATTATGATCTAATAAATGGTAATAAGATGGATGCTAAGATGACAGGCAAATATACAATGAGCTTTCAGGATCTGTGCAACTGACCCACGGTCAACAGTATATAGCTAATAGCAAGCCAATAATTGATGGAAGGCTGGGTATGGTGGCTCATGTCTGTAGTCCCAGCACTTTGGGAGGCTGAGACAAGAGGATCGCTTGAGCCCAGGAATTCAGGACCAGCTTGGGCAACATAGTGAGACTCCTGTCTCTAGAAAATTAGCCAGGTGTGGTGGCATGTGCCATAAGTCCCAGCTACTTAGGAGGCTGAGGCAGGGGGATTGTTTGAGCCTGGAAGGTTGAGGCTACAGTGAGCTGTGTTGTCATGACTCTGACTGCACTCCAGCTTAGGCAAGAGAATGAGACCCTGTCTCTCTCTTAAAAAAAAAAAAAAAAGATGAATTCCCACTTGCCAATAATACTGAGAATACAGGGTGATTTTAGGCTTAAGCTAAATTCTAACTCCTTTCCCCACAACTGTTAACAGTTAAGCCTTTTCTGCAAAGTCAAGGATACTAATAAGCATCCTTGAAATGCTTATAAGAGAACTGTAAGAGGTTTTGGGTTTTATCACACAAGTTCCAAGGTGGAGGAGCAGTGACAGTGAGAGATAAGACAAGGTGAACAAGTTTAAAACCAAAAGCAGTGGACATTTATTCCTTAATTTTTGTGCAAGAGTGTAAAGATGCATTTGAAAGAACCTGATGGCTAGAGCATCAGCCATGGCTTTCAGGTTGACCTAGTTTACAATCAGGAAAAGAAGGGGAAAAAAGTTAACTTGCCTAGTTCACATGAATGATGTTTCTGGCAAACACAGTCTTTTACAAGTTTCAAGCTATATTTTACTAGAGTCAAGGGAAGACTTCAAAAAGCCACATACAGTACAATTTAAAATTGGATGAACATCCTGCAAATGTTAGTGCAAAGTAATTATGTAGACTCTCCAAACAAGATTGTGCTCTTGTTTCCCAGGTTTGGTCAATGTTGCTCTTTTATGATTACAATCACAGAGGCTTAACTTACCAAATAGCAATGCCTCTGTGTTTTATGTCCTGTGTACCAAGGGAATGTCACAAGGTTTTGATGAAATGCAGCTTAGTTTCATTAATAAAGTAAATTTCTTATTGAATTTAACAATCAGGTTCCTGGAATGCTGCATGTGTTAAGTTTCATGGAAATGCTCTTAAGCTTATGCCTCTATTTTGTTCAACAAAATCACTCTTAAGATATCCTTTTTACTATGTAACTGGAATTGTTTCATGATCTTGAAATGCAACCAGTATAAATGAACATTTCAGAAGTGGGAGAAAATCCACCACTAATCTCAGCTAGACAAACTTCTTAAAAATCAAAAAGCCTATTCACACAAAATTATATGTAATGACTGTAGTAATCAGTTTATTACACAGATTAATCATTCTTGAACGTACAAGCTCCAAAGGAGCAACTGGGTCTTTAAATATACACAAGTATTTCCATCAAATGAATTTTCACCCTTACATCCAAATAGACCTAAGCGGTTAAAAACATAAGAAAAATAAGAGCTATTAGCTATGTATTAACTGAGAAACCACATACAAACCAAAGAATATGGAAGAGAGAAAGAAGGGATGAAAGGCCAAAGGTTGAAGGGGTAGGGAAATGTAAAAGAGTTGGGAACAAAGCCCATCACACTTGATATACTAATAGCTCCAATCCATTTAAATGTTGACCAGTTAAACTTAGACCTTAAAATGCAGGATGTGGGTAGAGTTTAATCTGGTTGGTCATAACTTTCACCTAAGACGTAGCTCCTTCGGAATAAAATGAATACAGACACAGCTTCATGTTCTTCACCTTGCTTTTCATAACTGTTTTGAGTTTAAATGGATTCCACTTAAAAATAATCTCCTACAGGTGAGTGGAGCCTTTTCTTTTCCATCCAAGCTCACACCATACCCACCACCCCCCTCACACCTTGCTGTTATCCAAATTTAAGTCAGTAAGAAAAGCTTTTAGTCTCACACCTAGGTAATGCCTGTAGAACTGGCTTGTCACACACACACTTCTCTGCTAGGAGGCAATGTTGGTACAGAAGTACAGTATTTCTAGTTTGTTGTTCCAAGTATGTACAACACGCAGCACTGCTGTATCAGGTAAACATGTGCACAGGGGAAGATGAGGCGTGGGCTCATAGAAAGCAGTCAAATGGAAATCAAAAGGACTTTCTCTTTCAGAGTTCCCCTATCTTTATTTGTAGAGGTTATCCAATAATTTCTTTAATTACATCGCATACTTCTGAGTCCATTCCCGAGCTATTCTGTTGTACCTGTACACACAAAGAGAAGCTTGGCTTAACACAAGTGTGGAGTCAGTAAGCAACAGATTCCATTCATTATCCCATCAAGTAACTTGAAGAGAGTAACTCATAGGACATTCAAGGAAAGGCCCCTTTCTATCCCAAATTTCTGATAAGCATTAATTCAATGATAATGGGAAGGATCTGTAAAATGTGAAAGTCTCCTTTAATTGCTACTTACAGAGGGTTCTGATTAAATTTTAGTATTTGTTGACATATACTTTATTCTATACTTGATTGGCCTATTTCTACAGAAGACATCAACTCAATTCATTTATTTAAAGTACTTGAAACTATATGATTCTACATTATATAGTTCTTGAACTCATATACTAATAATGATTAAACTGACATAAGGCTGGGTGCGGTGGCTCAGACCTGTAATCCCAGCACTTTGGGAGGCTGAGTCGGGTGGATCACTTGAGCCCAGGAGTTTGAGACCAGTCTGGGCAACATGATAAAACCCTATCTCTACAAAAAATACAAAAATTAGCAGCGTGTGGTGGCGCATGCCTGTAGTCCAAGCTACTCAGGAGGCTGAGGTGGGAAGATCGTTTGAGCTCAGGAGGCAGAGGTTGAAGTGAGCTGATATTGCAACACTGTACTACAGCCTGGGTGACAGAGTGAGGCTCTGTCTCAAAAAAAAAGGGGGGGGGAACCCAACTTTCCTTTCATGTCAATAAAACTGGTTCTGGTAGAACTTATTTCAACAATTCGGTTGACAAAATGAATGGGTTTATTGCTTCAGAAGAATGTTTGAATAAAGTAAGCAGAGCAAATGGTTCTATAATTCTCCTATTAAAAAAGGGATGCTAGGCCGGGTACGGTGGCTCACGCCTGTTAATCCCAGCACTTTGGGAGGCTGAGGCAGGCGGATTACCTGAGGTCAAGAGTTTGAGACGGGCCTGGCCAACATGGTGAAATCCTGTCTCTACTAAAAATACAAAAAAAATTATCTGGGCGTGGTGGTGTTCACCTGTAATCCCAGCTACTCGGGAGGCTGAGGCAGCAGAATCATTTGAACCTGGGAGGTGGAAGCTGCAGTGAGCCAAGATCGTGACATTGCACTCCAGACTGGGTGACACAGCCAGACTTCAGCTCAAAAAAAAAAAAAAAAAAAAAGATGCTAGAAAAAAAAGAAAGAAAGATAAGGTCAGGTGTGGTAGCTCATGCCTGTAATCCTGGCACCTTGGGAGGCCAAGGCAGGAAGACTGCTTGAGGTCAGGAGTTCAAGACCAGCCTGGGCAACACATCAAGACCTAATCTCTATTAAATTTTAAAAAAGAAAAAAAGGGATGCTGAGCCTGGGCAACATAGGGATACTCCATTGATACAGAAAATTTAAAAATTAGCTGGCGACCGGGTGTCATGGCTCACGCCTGTAATCCCAGCACTTTGGGAGGCTGGGGCGGCTGGATAACTTGAGGTCAGGAGTTCCAGACTAGCCTGGCCAACATGGCAAAATCCTGTCTCTACTGAAAACACAAAATTTAGCCAAGAATGGTGGTGTGTGCCTGTAATCCCAGCCACTCAGGAGGCTAAGGCATGAGAATCACTTGAGCCTGGGAGGCAAAGGTTGCAGTAAGCCAAGAATGCACCACTGCACTCCACCTGGGCAATGCAGAAAGACTCGGTCTCAAAAAAAAAAAAATTAGCTGGATGTGATGGCATGTGCCTGTGGTCCCAGCTACTTGGGAAGCTCAGATTGGAGGACTACTTGAGCCTGGGAGGTTGAGGTTACAGTGAGCTGTGATTGTGCCACTGCAATCCAGTCTGGGCAACAGAGCAAGACCCTGACTCAAAAACAAAGCGGGGTGGGGATGGGTATGCTGGCCTCGCATGGTGGCTCATGCCTATAACAACAGCACTTTGGGAGGCTGAGGTGGGAGGACTGCTTGAGGCCAGGAATTAGAGACCAGCCTGTGCAACATAGTGAGATCCTGTCTCTACAATTAAAACAAATTAGCCAGGTGTAGTGGCATGTACTAGCAGTCCTAACTACTGGGTAGGCTGGGGTGGGAGGATCACTTGAGCCCATGAGTTTGACACTGCAGTGAGCCACGATTGTGCCACTGTACTCCAGTCTGGGCAGAAGAGCAAGACCCTGTCTCTGAAAAAAAAAAAAGTGGGGGGTTAGAGGGTGGAGGCAGTGCGGTTTAGGAAAGTTCTGTTCAACAGTGTTCAACATTACTCCATGCTGACTTGGGAAGTGACTTCTGGTAAGCATTCAGGCCCACAATTCTAAATATTGGACAAAACAGTTCTCTAATCAAAAAAATCTGTGAATAAATTCACAAATAGGAAAAAGCAAGAACCAACTGTTAGAATACCCCATTCCCAGTGTTACCTCCATTAAAAACAAAAAAGTATCTATGCCTCTTTAATCCAGTAGAATTCAAGTAATTCTTAAATCCTTTCTATTTTAACTTTAATTTTTTTTTTTTTTTTTTTTTTTTTGGTAACAGGAATCTTGCTCTGTCGCCCAGGCAGGAGTGCAGTGGCGCAATTTCAGCTCACTGCAATCTCCACGTCCTGAGTTTAAGCAATTCTCCTGCCTCAGCCTCCCGAGTAGCTGGGATTACAGGTGCCCGCCATCACGCCTGGCTAATTTTTGTAGTTTTAGTAGAGATGGGGTTTCAGCCTGTTGGCCAGGCTGCTCTCAAACCCCTGACCTTGTGATCTGCCCACCCCGGCCTCCCAAAGTGCCAGGGTTACAGGCATGAGCCACCACGCCCGGCCCTAAAAAAAACCTATTCACCCTCTCCTATCTACTTCCTCTTATAACTTCACTGAATAGTACATAAAACAACAGATGTTATTAGTGCTGGGCATGGTGGTATATGCTTATAATCCTAGCTACTCCAGAGGCTGAGGTAGGAGGACTACTTGAGCCCACGAGTTTGAGACCAACCTAGGCAACACAGCAAGACTCCATCTCAAAAGAAAAAAAGAAAAGAATAAATGCTACTAGAACACTTTTAGCTACTATCTCTTTTGATATCCTGACCACTGTTCAGTAATTCATAGTACAACTCTAAAACACCCAAATTCTACAATCAAGTTTTGTTTTTAAAAGAAATTTGGGGCTTTCATGCCTAATGGCATTTATTTACTTTCTTCCTTTAGATTATGTCAAATGGTAAAAAATCAATTCTCTTTTCCCATTAATTCACAAATACATATAGCAGGCAAATGGGCACTTGATGAAAAATGCTTTATATATCAAAAGCCAAGCATAAGACATTAAGCTGTTGAAAAATATACCATAGGAAAATTTTTGTATGGGCATGGTGGCTAACACCTGTAATTCCAGCACTTTGGGAGGCCTAGGCAGGAAGATCATTTGAGGTCAGGAGTTCGAAACCAGCCTGGCCAACATGGTGAAAGCCTCTATTAAAACTACAAAAAAAATGAGCCTGGTGTGGTGGCCTGCACCTGTAATCCCATCTACTTGGGAGGCTGAGGCATGAGAATCATTTGAACCCAGGAGGCGGAGGTTGCAGTGAGCCAAGACTGCACCACTGCACTCCAGCCTGGGTGACAGAGTGAGACCCTGTTTCAAAAAAAAAAGTTTTTGTAGACAAGAGGAGTCACATGAAACAATCGGGGATAAGACTGGCATCATCTACTTATAATACTCCTCAATGCATATATTCTTCTTTTCTAGCCCCAGGAGAGTCTATTAGGACTTCACTTTAAATATCTGGCCCATATTCAGCCCTTAAACAAGAAAGATTTGTGACAAACATCTCCATCCCACCACAGATAACATTCCATCTTGAGGCCATACTTACTTTTCTCTATCTGTTTTGTAGATCCGAGCAATCTCAGGCACTAAAGGATCATCTGGATTGGGATCACACAACAGAGAACAGATGGATAAGAGTACTAGAATGAAAAAAATCGTATAAATTAGTAGAGGATAAAAGCAAAGGGTTGAGAGAAACATGAGATGCCAAAACAGGAGAAAATTCTAAGAATTTATATTGCAATGCCTAGCAGCTTTGTAAATTTTACTTAACTTTATATTAACAGTAACCAACAAGGATTTTTTTCTTTCTTTCTTTTATAGCAGAGTTGGGGTTTCACCATGTTGGCCAGGCTGGTCTCGAACTCCTGACCTCAGGTGATCCACCCACCTCGGCCTCCCAAAGTCCTGGGATTACAGGAGTGAGCCACAGTACCTGGCCTAATTTTTGTATTTTTAGTAGAGTCAGGGTTTCGCCATGTTGGTCAGGCTGGTCTTGAACTCCTGACCTCGTGATTCACCCACGTAGGCCTCCCAAAGTGCTGGGATTACAAGCATGAGCCACCACGCCTGGCAAATAGTTTTTTGAGACGGAGTCTCACTCTGTTGCCCAGACTGGAGTGCAGTGGCGCGATCTCGGCTCGTTGCAAGCTGCACCTCCCGGGTTCATGCCATTCTCCTGCCTCAGCCTCCCGAGTAGCTGGGACTACTGGCGCCCACCACCATGCCCGGCTCATTTTTTTGTATTTTTAGTAGAGACAGGGTTTCACCATGTTAGCCAGGATGCTCTCGATCTCCTGACCTCGTGATCCACCGCGCCCAGTCTACCAACAAGGATTTTAGGAAGCTTCAACAGACTTCAGGTTAGGTCATTAAAAAACAAAAATGAAGGCCGGGTGCAGTGGCTCATGCCTGTAATCCCAGCACTTTGGGAAGCAGAGGCGGGTGGATCACGAGGTCAAGAGATTTAAACCATCCTGGCCAACATGGTGGAACCCCATCTCTACTAAAAATACAAAAATTAGCTGGGTGTGGTGGCGCGTGCCTGTAGTCCCAGCTACTCGGGAGACTGAGGCCGGAGAATCGCTTGAACCTGGGAGGCGGAGGTTGCTGTGAGCTGAGATCGTAGCATTGCACTCCAGCCTGGGCGACAGAGCAAAAATCCATCTCCAAAATAATAATAATAATAATAAATAAAAAATAAAATAAAACAAATAGCAGAAAATTAATGTTAAATGGCATCCTGGTCTCCCAGATACGAATATAAGCCCCTTTGTGCAAAGTCTCACAATAATCCCATAATGTAAGAAGAGCTGATATGACTGTCTCTATGCCTGAACCCCTAAGAGAGCTGGCCCAGACAGGTGCAGTGACGTGTTCAATGTCCCTGGCTAGAAATTAGAATAGAATTAAAACTTGGTCTAAATCTTAGACCAAGAACATTTTTCAGATCCCATAAAATTCAATTTTTTAGAAGCCCATATTCAAGGATAAATGGCTTTCAAAATTCCAAAGACAGGCCAAGTAAGAGGGCTCACTCCTGTAATCCTAGCACTTTGGGAGGCCACAGCAGAAGGATCGCTTCAGGCCAGGAGTCTGAGATCAGCCTAGGCAACACAGTGAGATTCTGTCTCTACAAAAAATTAAAAAATTAGCTAGATGTGGTGGCACACTCCTATGGTCCCAGCTACTCAGGAGGCTAACGTGGGAGGATCACTTACGCCCAGGAGGTTAAGGCTGTATTGAGCTGTGTTCGCACCACTGCACTCCACCCTGGGTGACAGAGTGAGACCCTGTCTCAAAAAGGAAAAAGAAAAAAAAAGACAGCCACACTACTGAATATTCTTAGCAAAAATGACAACCATAAAATCCAACAATCACTGTTTTCCAGTGGCAGGCACCACATTCAGACAATTGTTTTGTTTAATTTTCAGTTGAAAACAATTTAGTCTACATCAAGAACATAAATGCAAACACTTGCCCCCAAAAGGAGATGGTCACACACTCATTACAGAGAATACAACATACTTCTATGAATGTCTCAAATTCTCTTCAGTGACGATTTAGAATCTCATCTAAGTCACTTCCTCGGTGACAATCTGGGATGTAGCAGACAAATCTCAATAGTGTAATTTCCTTTGTTCAATCTGTCATTAACTTGCTTTAAAATATTTATTTATTATTTATTTAGAGACAGGGTCTCACTCTGTCGCCCAGGTTGGAGTGCAGTGGCGTGATCTTGGCTCATTTCAGCCTAAACCTCCCGGGCTCAAGTCATCCTCCCACCTCACTCTATAGGGGAGACTACAGGTGAGTGCCACCACGTCCAACTAATTTTCTTTGTATTTTTTGTAGAGGTTGGGTTTTGCCATGTTGGCCAGGCTAGTCTTGATCTCCTAGGCTCAAGTGATCCACCTGCCTTGGCCTCCGGAAGTGCTGGGATTACAGGTGTGAACCACCACACCGGGCCATATCTATCATTAACTTATGCATTCCTTACTGAATGCAAAGGGGGCATAAAGTCACTGATTACATTAAGTTCAAGTAGCCTCTGACATAATGAAATAAATTTAAATCCTTCTATACTAATGCTAATAGAGCGCAGCCATCTTTCTTTTCTCTAAAGTTCTGTACCAAGAGATAATAACTCTCAGCCTACTTTACTCCCAGCACATAAGTTCAGCAGGGAAAGGATTCGCTCATATTCCTATCAAATCTATCCTATAGAGATCAAGGGCTTCTGAGAAGTAAAGAAAAAGTTGACATGCCCTATTCGGTTTGGTAACAAAAATGCTATTTCCTTGCCTTGAGAGTATATGAAAAGTTTTTTTAAAAAAATAAGGAAAGATGTTTTGTGACTCTTCATTCCTGTTGCCCACAGTTCTGGCAGTTGGCATTCCAAAAACATTTTCCCACTGTCAGGTGTCATCACCTGAAGCCCTCTTCAAGCATAGAACATTCTAACATCAATTAGGAAAGACTTCAGGTATTTCCTGGAAATAACAGGAAGTTAGAAATTTTTGAATGTTCCTTTAACTGATTCTTCTAAATATTCTAATAAGTCAACTTTAAAGCACAGGTTTTAAAGAAAGGGCTTTTCCTTCTTTCCAGGAAAGGAAAGTAGGGCACTGGCTATCTGGACCTTGTGAAGATTCTTAGTACGCTACTTATATTCTTGAATTCATGAAAAATTCATTTTGGTTTATAATATACTGATATGGTTTGGATCTGTGTCCCCACACAAATCTCATGTTCAACTGTAATCCCCAACGTTGGAAGTGGGGCCTGGTGGGAGGCGACTGGATCATGGTGGGTGCATCTTTCATGAATGGTTTAGTACCACCCCTTTGATGCTGTTCTTGTGATAGAGTTCTCACGAGATCTGGCTAATAGTGTGTGGCACCTCCCCCTATCTCTCTCTCGGTCCTGCTACTGCCATGTGAGACAGGTGGCTCCCCCTTTGCCTTCTGCCACGAGTAAAAGCTCCCTCAAGGCTCCCCAGAAGCAGATGCTGCCATGCTTTCTGTATAGTCCACAGAACTGTGAGCCAATTAAACTTTTTTTTTTTTTTTTGAGATGCAGTTTCACTCTTGTTGCCCAGGCTGGAGTGCAATGGCGCGATCCCAGCTTCCTGCAACCTCTGCCTCCCGGATTCAAGCGATTCTCCTGCCTCAGCCTCCCAAGTAGCTGGGATTACAGGCATGCACCACCATGCCCAGCTAATTTCTGTATTTTTGGTAGAGATGGGGTTTCTCCATGTTGGTCAGGCTGGTCTCAAACTCCCGACCTCAGGTGATCTGCCCACCTTGGCCTCCCAAAGTGCTGGGATTACAAGCGTGAGCAACTGCGCCCAACAAACCTCTTTTCTTTATAAATTATCCAGTCTCAGGTATTTCTTTATAGCAGTGCAAGAATGCGCTGATATATATACCTTTTTCTGTAAAGATAATAACTCTTATTTCTATAACCTGTATAGTTTCTTCATTGAACTTTTACCTATACATATTCATCAGTATTACTTTTTTTTTTTTTTTTTTTTTTTTTGAGACAGAGTCTCGCTCTGTTGCCCAGGCTGGAGCACAGTGGTGTGATGTTGGCTCACTGCAACCTCCGCCTCCCAGGTTCCCAGGTTCAAGCAATTCTTGTGCCTCAGCCTCCTGAGTAGTTGGGACTACAGACACACACCACCCTGCCTGGCTAATTTTTGTATTATTGGTAGAAATGGGGTTTCACTATGTTGGCCAGGCTGTTCTTAAACTCCTGACCTTAAGTGATCCACCTTCCTCGGCCTCTCAAAGTGGATTACAGTCATTACTGCACCTGGCCAGTATTTTCACTAGTGTTACGACGACAGTTACTTTCACTTCTAAAAACATATAATCAAATGGCTTTATGGCACACTTATCTGCTTCCTTTCGTTTTTTTTTCAGTGTTTTTTTTTTTTTTTTTTTTAATTATATATATATATATTTAGGTCCCCATCATGGATCTTCAAAGTAGAGGGAATACTGGGTCAAAATTTCTATCCTTGAAGACAGACTATATGTTAAAAGAATAATATACAGGATTAAGGCGTTTCATAGAACTACTTGCCCATACATTCAATTTACAAAAAGGGAATCATTAAAACCTTAAACCTGAGACAGTTAATACAATCAAATTCAACAAAATGGCACTGCAATTATTTTAAAGGATAGCTATCCAGATAGAACCTAACAAATCAAACTTGTAACAGTCCTTATCATTTACAATAGCTGGAAAAAAATCAATGCTAGGCAAGAGAAGGGGAAGAACAAAAAGAGATATGGCAATAATTTCAGCTATCTTGCGCCTCCAATACCCCACCCCACCCCACCAAAACACACCTCTCACATAATTCCACTTATCTTGGTCCCATTACTAGATTTACATCTCTATTGCTATTTGGTGAAGGAAGTGCAACCAATGGGACCTTCACCAGGCCAGGCACAGGTCCATAAACACTTTCTCAAGTAGCTCTTGAATTGTAAGGGGGCCCACCAAAAGAAAAGGGGACACACTTCTCTAAAAAACTACTTCACTACAACTTTTAAAAAAATGTGGTTCTCTAGCATCTTGTTTTTATTTCTGCCTAGGACTCTAAAATTTTTAAATTAATGCCTCAGAGTTTTGTTTGCTTTAAAAAATAAATTTGTGGCCAGGAATGGTGGCTCACACCTGTAATCCCAGTCCTTTGGGAGGCCAAGACAGGCGGATCACCTGAGGTTGGGAGTTCAAGACCAGCCTGACCAACATGGAGAAACCCTGTCTCTACTAAAGATACAAAATTAGCCAGGTGTGGTGGCGCATGCCCTGTAATCCCAGCTGCTCAGAAGGCTGAAGCAGGAGAATGGCTTGAACCTGAGAGGTGGAGGCTGCAGTGAGCCGAGATTGTGCCACTGCACTCCAGCCTAGGCAACAAGAGTGAAACTCCTTCTCAAAAAACAAAAAAAATTTTAAGATTGAGTCTTGACATCCAAGTTATAACATGACAAATACTCAACACTTTTGACAACCGTGCCTTTATCCCAGTTTTTGGAGTACTTACAAGGAACCAGTTAACTGTCCGTTTTTGCTTCTTTAATCTTCATAACAACAATGAAATATTTATTATTGTTCCTTTTCTACTGATGACAAAACTGAGGAATACAGGGGCCAATGTGTCTCAAATCTCATTTAATAAGAGGTGGATCTGAGATCTGCACACAGGCAACTGGATCTAGAATCAATGTTCTTTACCGTGAAACTATGTTGCTTCCTGTCTAAATACATGCGTTAAACAAATGCTAAATTATAAGCAGATAATTTCTACAAAAAATACAAAAATTAGTTGGGCGTGGTGGTGGGCGCCTGTAATCCCAGCTACTCGGGAGGCTGAAGCAGGAGAATTGCTTGAACCCTGGAGGCGGAGGTTGCAGTCAGTCAAGATCGTACCATTGCACTTCAGCCTGGGCAACAAGAGTGAAACTCTGTCTCAAAAAAAAACAAAAAACAAAAATTCATACACCACGTTTCACCACACAAATACCAAAACTAACATTGTTTGTCTATTTCTGGCCACTTAACATCCTTTTTTTTTTGAGATGGAGTCTCGCTCTGTTGCCCAGGCTGGAGTGCAGTGGCGCGATCTCGGCTCACTGCAAGCTCCGCCTCCTGGGTTCATGCCATTCTCCTGCCTCAGCCTCCCAAGTAGCTGGGACTACAGGCGCCCACCACCATGCCCAGCTAATTCTTTTGTATTTTTAGTAAAGACAGGGTTTCACTGTGTCAGCCAGGATGGTCTCGATCTCCTAACCTCATGATCCGCCTGCCTCGGCCTCCCAAAGTGCTGGATTACAGGCGTGAGCCACCGCGCCCAGCCTCACTTAACATACTTTTATATGTAACTCTTGTTACAGTGTATATGCCTTTTTTCTTTTTTCTGCTTTTCTCAAACACAGTATTTTTCTATTTTTGCAATATTTGTAAAGTTCAATACTTTTTTTTTTGGCGACAGAGTCTCCCTCTGTCACCCAGGCTAGAGTACAGGTGTACCATCTTGGCTCACTGCAACCTCCGTCTCCTGGGTTTGAGTGATTCTCCTGCCTCAGCCTCCTGAGTAGTTGGGCACACGCCATCACGCCCAGGAGTGTACAGGCACGTGTCATCATACCTGGCTAATTTTTGTATTTTTAGTAAAGATGGGGTTTTGCCATGTTGGCCAAGCTGGTCTCGAACTCCTAGTCTCAAGTGATCTGCCCATCTCAGCCTCACAAACTGCTGGGATTACAGGCATGAACCACTGTGCCTGGCCAGAGTCAACACTCTCTTAAATGCAAGTGCTAGAACCCATTTATTTTTTCCTCTTCTGTAAGTAACCTCTAATTTTCAGAACTAAATCACACTGTCACAAATGTACTTGCATACAAAGTTTTCTCAGCATGTGGGATTGTTTTCTTAGTATAAATAAATGAAACTAGAATTATTGGGCAAATGGGCATGGATGATTAAGTATCTTAACACATACTGGCAGACTGGGCTCTACAAACCTATACCTCTACTTGAAGTATGGAGTATTCATTTCAATATACCTCATTAGCATTTTGTCTCCTTTTAAAAATATCTTTGTTAATTAAAAAGGTAAAAAATGGGAATGTAACATTCATTTATTTATTCTTTGGTTCCCCTGTGTCCACTCATCTATTAGGATCTGAATTTTTTTCTGATTTTTGTACTTCATATTTTAAACATTAATCCATTACCATATTTGATTTTTCTCTTAAACAACTGATTTCATTTTCACAAAAGTACATCCAGTAAGCTCTTTTACACCTCTCAGAGTAGAGCGGAGAGATCTGATAAAGATTTTTTTTTTTTTTTTTTTTTTTTGAGACGGAGTCTCGCTCTGTCGCCCAGGCTGGAGTGCAGTGGCCGGATCTCGGCTCACTGCAACCTCCGCCTCCCGGGTTCAAGCAATTCTCCTGCCTCAGCCTAAAATACAAAAATTAGCCGGGCATGGTGGCGGATGCCTGTAATCCCAGCTACTAGGGAGGCTGAGGCAGGAGAATCGCTTGAACCCGGGAGGCGGAGGTTGCAATGAGCCAAGATTGCCCCACTGCAGTCCAGCCTGGGCGACAAAGTGAGACTCCATCTCAAAAAAAAAAAAAAAAAAATATATATATATATATATAGAGAGAGAGAGAGAGAGAGAGAGAAAATTTTAATCCAACTGTGATTTCATCTGGGAATAATGAGAGAGAGAGTATTTTAATCCAACTGTGATTTCATCTGGGAATAATGTTCAAGGGTTGTACAATTTCAAATCAACACATAAGACAACTACATCACTCAGTTCATTGATACAGAAACCTAAAGACAAGAGCTGGTAAAATATTTACCAATATTTCGTTCTTCAAGAACCTAATGTCTATGTTCACAGCATAAGCATCTGTCTAAAGAGCTGATCTATTTCCTGCTCTGGAATAGTATCTATCTTTTCCATTCATGAATCTCAAGGTTGGAAGAGATGTTAATTGTGTTTACGCTCTAAAAAAACATTCATACCAGTGTCCATCTTTTTTTTTTGTGAGATAGCGTCTCACTCTGTTGCCCAGGCTGGAGTGCAGTGGCATGATCTCCGCTCACTGCAAGCTCCGCCTCCTGGGTTCACACCATTCTCCTGCCTCAGCCTCCTGAGTAGCTGGGACTACAGGCACCCACCACCATGCCCGGCTAATTCTTTTGTATTTTTAGTAAAGACAGGGTTTCACCGTGTTAGCCAGGATGGTCTCGATCTCCTGACCTTGTGATCCGCCCACCTCGGCCTCCCAAAGTGCTGGGATTACATGCATGAGCCACCGCGCCCGGTTCAGTGTCCATCTTCTAACCTATGCTTGAGTAGCACAACTGACAAAGTAGTCACTACACCAAGGAACACTTTTGCTTGAAAAATCCAACTCGTTTTCAGTTCTCAAGGTCCATTTCAGAATAAGAAGAATTACTATCTCTTCTTAAAAGAGAAATAATCTTTTCAAAAATAAGTAACTCTAAAAAGACAAAAGACACAGTTGCGTTATCTTGATATCAAATACCCATTGTTACCTTTTGAAATAGTTAGTGCTGGAGACCACTGTGATCGTAGAATATCAAGACAAATGCTGCCATTACTGTTAATATTTGGATGATAAATTCTTGTCGTAAATGCAACCTACAGAAAGAAAGGAAACTTTCTATAAACTAGTTTATTAGTATTATAGAAAGCACATTAAAAACTGCCACATTCCAATTAATTACCTTAGGTGGTTTGAAGGGGTAATCTGTTGGGAAATGAATTGTCAAGAAAAATACTCCACCCTGATAGGGACTGTCATTCTGTTGGTAAAAGAAAAGTGGGATTAAAATGAGTAAATTACATAAACTGTTTATTCTGAATTTAATCTGAATACTTACTGGCCCCATTATTGTAGCTTGCCAATGGAACACTGAAAAATAACAAGAAAAAAGTCACCATGTAACAATATCTACATTGTATCTGTGCCATAGTAACATATCATTCCCCTTCTAATCCAAATTCATTTATAAATAATATGATGAGTATGAGCAAGATGAGGAACATAAAGTAACAGTCTAAAGAAACAAGAAAAATGACTAGAATGGCCTAGAACACTGATAAGGTGCTCAATGAAAAATATTTGGAGCCAGGTGTGGTGGCTCACACCTGTAATCCCAACACTTTGAGAGGCTGTGAGAAGTGGAGGCTGCAATAAGCCATGACTGCGCCACTGCGAGACTCTCAAAAACAAAACAAAAAAAAGTATTTGGGCTAAAACTTCTTGAAACTTCATGTCAGAGAAACAAACTTATTGACAAGGCTCATAGTTCTACTTTTAAATAGCTATTTATTTACCTCACTTCTCCAAAACAATTACATATAATATACTTTTTTTTTTTTTTTTTGAGACAGAGTCTCACTCTATCGCCCAGGCTGGAATGCAGTGGCACCAATTTCAGCTCATGCAACCTCCGCCTCCCGGGTTCAAACAATTCTCCTGCCTCAGCCTCCCAAGTAGCTGGGACTACAGACAAGTGCCACCACACCTGGCTAATTTTTGTCTTTTTAGTAGAAACAAGGTTTTGCCACATTTGGCCAGGTCTCAAACTCCTGACCTCAGATGATCCACCCACCTCGGCCTCCCAAAGCTGGGATTACAGGCATGACTTCTTTTATAATGCTGGTATACAGGGGACAAAACAGCAAAGTCAAGGTAGATAATACTCAAATTAAGAAAGACTGGTTTTAACAATGAGAACAAATTTCTAAAAACTCTTGTGTAGGTCTGTACATTACTGGTCCTCATTAAAGAAACAAAAGCATCATCTCTTCTAATGTAGAGGATACGTTAAAGAGGAAAAAAGAGAAAAAAAGGAGTGAAATTTAAAAAGAAAATATTAGCTAAAAGCCCAAGGTTGATTACAAGTTCTAGGGATACTTCCAATAAGTTACAAACTTGTTCAATAAATAAATATCTTCCAAATGCAGAAAATGGTGCTTGTTCCATGTTCTCATGTTACTAAGTGCAGTATGAGAGATCAAAAGCCAGAGTTTTTATTTATAAGCAAGCTACTACTTAGTATACTTAACATTCATACTATGATCTGAGCAACCTAAGGGAAGTTGTCACTGGGGTTATATTTGAACAACCCAAACCAGATAACTCTTGTCACAAGGTAGAAGAAACATGAAGACTAAGAAGCCATATAAAAATCCACCAGAATGTCAGTCCAAATCCTAAAGTTCCTTCCAACCTCCTTAATATGAAACTAATCCCTATGGTTGGTTTGTTGCTCACTGGGACTTGAACCTAAAAATAGCAGCTCGTTGATTAAGAGTTAAAGGTAAAGGACAGGAATTGCTGAGGCTCCCTTCCTTAGATTAGCCCTCACTAGTACTTAGAAACACTTATATTACTCTCTGCCGACCATTTAATGGACTGTGTAAGCCAAGGACAAAGCCATTCTGGGCCACTAAAACTGGACCTAGTATCTTCAAGGGAAGTCCTATAAAAAGCCCCTTATATGCTGTTTAAAGACACAAAAGCAGGCACCTGTAATCCCAGCTACTCAGGATGCTGAGTTGGGAGGATGATTTGAGCCCAGGAGTTCAAGTCCAGCCCAGGCAACATAGCAAGACCCCGTTTCCGAAAAAATAAAAATAAAAACAAGACTAAAACACACACACACACATGCTCACACGCATGCATGCACACATACACATGAATCTCACTCTATTTTTAATCACAAATATACTTACAATTTGAGTAAATAAAACATTGATAACTAGAATTAACCCCCAATAACAAGGCTAAAAACACTATTAGACAAAAGAATGACCAACTGGCCAAGGGACCTGTTCTTCTACTTAATTCTTTTATGTTATTTAAATTTGTGGTTATAATGGAAGAGTATTAATTGTACCTGCATTCCCACGCAAAGCTGTAAGAGTTGGGTAAGATAATAAGAAAGCACTGCTTTTAAGTGTTCTCAGGCACTGCCTGCCACAGTGGCGCCCTCATCTCTAATGTCTGTGCTACCTCTAGCTTGCTGAGAAGGGGGATAAGCAAGGAGGTATCTAGATCATGACTAGTAGAAGGTAGATTATCAGCAAATTGGCAAAGTAGTAAAGCACCCAGGAAGCAACTGGCTACAGAAGTTACTCACAAGAGTGTACCCTTTACCGGAAGGGTAAAGAAACCTCACTGTTACAGGTCTGGTACTGTGGTACTCTGTGAAAATAGATATCCTCAGAAGTCCACTGAACTTCTGATTAGCAAACTTCCTTTCCAGCATCTGATACAAGAAGTTGCTGGGGACTTCAAAACAAATCTACACTTCCAGCTTTTGGTACTTTGCAGGAGGCAAGTGAGGCCTATCTGATGGGCCTTTATGAAGACACCAACTCATGTGCTACTCAGGCCAAATATGTAACAAGTATGCCAAAAGACATCCAGCTAGCATGCCAATTACATGGAGACTGTGCTTAAGATTGGGAAACATTTCATTCTCAAAAAAAAAAAAAAAAAATTATTTTTCTTCTTTCTCTTATTGGTAGTTCTCTGTTAGATGTATTTTTCCCCCACGGGGTCAAAAGGTAACTATGTATATGACTGCGAGTGGAAAAATAGGGGACAGAAATCAGGTATTGGCAGTTTTTCCATTTTAACTTGTGTGTGAATTTCTAAAATAAAATTGAGGATGTAAAGCATTAATTCAACTCAAACTATTTCGGTGAACAAGTTTCAGCAGTTCACCTTTATAACAATTATAAACAGACCTATAAATTTTTTCTGGACAATGCTAGCATTTGGATTTTATTTTTGTCACTAGTTATATCATTAGTTTAATATAAAAGAGAGACATGGAAATTATTTACATGATGAAAGATTTCAGAACTTAAGTGGAATGGGCAGTTTCACACTGATGTCATTTCAATAGTGATTTATTTCAGTCTACACTTTCCAAGAATGTGGCCATCTCTTAAAAAAATAAAACTTGTCTCTGGGTGCGGTGGCTCACGCCTGTAATCCTAGCACTTTGGGAGGCCAAGGCAGGTGGATCGCCTGAGGTCAGGAGATCGAGATCAGCCTGACCAACATGGCGAAACCCCATCTCTACTGAAAATACAAAAAATTACCTGGGCGTGGTGGCAGGTGCCTGTAATCCCAGCTACTCAGGAGGCTGAGGAAGGAGAATAGCTTGAACCCAGGAGGCGGAGGTTGCAGTGAGCCGAGATCGTGCTACTGCACTCCAGCCTGGGCAACAGTGCAAGACTCCATCTTTAAAAAAAAAAAAAAAGAAAAAGAAAAGAAAAGAAAGCACTTTTAAAAAAAGAAAGAAAGCACTTAATAAAGTATTATTTTATTATTATTATTATTATTTTAAATACAGATGGGCGGCCGGGTGCGACAGCTCACACCTATAATCCCAGCACTTTGGGAGGCCGAGGCAGGTGGATCTCCTGAGGTTAGGAATTCGAGACCAGCCTAACATGGAGAAACCCCGTCTCTACTAAAAGTACAAAATTAGCCAAGCATGGTGGCGCATTGCCTGTAATCCCAGCTACTTGGAAGGCTGAGGCAGAAGAATCGCTTGAACCTGGGAGACTGAGGTTGCGGTGAGCCAAGATTGCGCCATTGCACTCCAGCCTGGGCAATAAGAGCAAAACTCCATCTCATTTAAAAAAAAAAAAAAAAAAAAAAAGAGAGAGAGATGAGGTCTCGCTAGGTTGTCCAGGATGGTCTTGAACTCCTGGGCTCAAGCAATTCACCCACCTCAGCCTCCCAAAGTGCTAGGATTATAGATGTGGGTCACCATATCCAGTCAAAATATAAAAATATTGAGACAATTTAAAAAATTAAATTTTCCATTAACCATTTAAGTACTAATAGTCTTTTCAAGATCAATCTTCTTCTTTTCTTGCTAATACTACTACCAGACTTAAGAAGTTATTAGAAAAATTTAAATCAGAATTTTTTTTTTTTTTGAGATGGAGTCTTGATCTGTCGCCTGGACTGGAGTGCAGTGGCTCGATCTCGGCTCACTGCAACCTCCACCTCCCAGGTTCAAGCAATTCTCCTGCCTTAGCCCCCTGAGTAGCTGGGATTACAGGTGCGTGCCACCACATCTGACTAATTTTGCTGTATTTTTAGTAGAGACGGGGTTTCACCACGTTGGTCAGGCTGGTCTCGAACTCCTGACCTCAGGTGATCCACCCGCCTTGGCCTCCCAAAGTGCTGGGATTATAGTCATAAGTCACCAGGCCCGGCCTTAAATCAGAAATTTTTAGCTAAATATTTCCTTTTTTGTGATTCCCTGTTCTTCCTACTAACACAAACAAAGCACAAATAGGCTGTGGGATCAAAATTTACTAACAATTGGACAATGTAGAATCCCCAACAGGGTTGAAGCAGAAATGCCAACAAGCTGCTAATGTTTACAATTATGGAAAGAATACCCTTCTTTTTTTTTTTTTTTTTTTTTTAAATGGAGAAAGGGTCTTGCCATGTTGCCCAGGCTGGTCTCAAACCCCTGGGCTCGAGCGATCTGCCTGCCTTGGCCTCTCAAACTGCTGGGAATATAGGCATGAGCCACCAGCAGTGCCCAGCCAGAATACCCAGAATACCCTTCTTTTTTTGAGACAGAGTCTTGCTCTGTCAAGGCTGGAGTGCAATGGCAAGATCTGGGCTCGCTGTAACCTCTGCCTCCTAGGTTCAAGTAATTCTCCTGCCTTAGCTTCCCAAATAGCTGGGATTACAGGTGTGCACCACCTCGCCCGGCTAATTTTTTGTATTTTTAGTAGAGATGGGGTTTCGTCACGTTGCCCAGACTGGTCTCAAACTCCTAAGCTCAGGCAATCCACCCACCTTGGCCTCCCAAAGTGCTAGGATTACAGGCATGAGCTACCACGCCCGGCCAGAATACCCTT